GTGAGGGTTTTGTAGCAGTTTCAAAAACGATGGCAGGCGTGGGACATTTCAAGAGGATCTGGAAAGATGCATGTCGCGTGGCAGGCGCAGTACAAGAGACATGCCCAGCAGAGATGTTAGGAGGTCAGGGCACTGATTTCCTGAGAGGGGTTGCATTTTGGAGCATCAGATCTTCAGTTTTGGGAAGATGATTTTGCGTGACAGGTGCAGCACTTCGTATGACCTGGCCTCACTTTTTGGTGGCAGGCGCAGTACTTTAGACAGGTGGAGTGGAAAAAATTCAAAACGCATTGGTACGCGGCTGTCAGCTCTGCACTCAACTTTCCATTTTTGAAGGAAGTCTCGCAGAATTGCTTCGTTTTTGATGTTGTCAACTTCGGAAAATTAGGAAGTCTTGCAGAATTGCTTTGTTTTTGATGTTGTCAAATTGAAAAATTAAGAAAGTCTCGCAGAATTGCTTCGTTTTTGACGTTGTCAAGTTCAAAAGTTGAGGAAGTCTCGCGGAATAGCTGCGTTTTCAAGCTTGCAGATAGACAGATGGATAGATAGATAGATAGATAGATAGAAAGGTTAGATAGACAACTACAAGTGCAACTACAACTACAAGTACACCTACACTACACTACTACTACAACTACAAGGGCACATATACCACGCTACATTACACAACACTACTTACACTTACTAATTACATCTAATTACACTACACTACGCTAATTCAGTACAGTACAACTACAACTACAACTACAACTACAACAACAATAACAACAACAACAACAACAACAACGACAGCAACAACAACAACAACAACAACAACAACAACTACTACTACTGCTTCTACTACTGCTACTACTACTGCTACTGCTACTACTACTACTACTCCTACTACTGTACTACTACTACTACTACTACTACTACGACTACTACTACGACTACTACTACGACTACGACTACGACCACTACGACTACGACCACGACCACGACCACGACCACCACCACCACCACCACCACCACCACCACCACCACGACCACCACCACGACACCACCACCACCAACGAACCACCCGACCACCACCACCACCACCACGACGACACCACCACCACCACGACCACCACCACGACCACCACCACGACCACCACCACCACCACCACCACCACCGCTATATATACCGCTATATACCGCTATACCGCTATACCGCTATACCGCTATACCGCTATACCGCTATACCGCTATACCGCCGCTATACCCCTATACCGCTATACCGCTATACCGCTATACCGCTATACCGCTATACCGCTATACCGCTATACCGCTATACCGCTATACCGCTATACCACTATACCACTATACCACTATACCACTATACCACTATACCACTATACCACTATACCACTACCAATACTACTACCACTATACCACTACCAATACTACTACCACTATACCACTACCAATACTACTACCACTACCACTACTACTACCACTACAACTACCACTACGACGACGACGAGGAGGACGACGACGAGGAGGACGACGACGACGAGGAGGATGACGACGACGACGACGAGGAGGACGACGACGACGACGAGGACGAGGACCAGGACCAGGACCAGGACCATCACCACCATCACCACCACGTACAGCTACACTACATTACACTACAATACACTAATTGAACTGCAGTACATTACAACTACAACTACAAATGCAAATGCAACGACACTATGTTACACAACACTACACTACACTAATTACATTACATTACACTACAACTGCAACTACCACCGCATTGCACTACACGACACTACACTACAACTACAACTACACTACTTTACACTACAATACACTAGACTGACTACACTACACTATTATACCACGCTACAGTACACAACACTACAGTACACTACAATACACTTCACTAATTACACCACACCACAACTACAACTGCAACTACACTACACTAATTACACTACATTACAACTACAATTTACAACTACAACTCCACTACGCTACAACTACCACTACACCTACAGCAGTTGTGGTGAGGTGACCACTGCAACCATTGCAACCACTCCAGAAAACACAACTCCAACCACCTTTCGGTCCATCAGTGGATTCGCTCTGCCATCCGTGAGTCACAGCAACCAACCCTTCCTAGAGGTTTCCTATTTTTGAAACTTCCACCACCGCCTTGTGCGGGACTACTGGTACCTAACAGTCTCCAACCTTCAGAAAAGCAGGACAGAAACGCAAATTATGAGAGAACAACCGCATTTTCTGAACCGGTGGGTGGTTTCACAATGTTTCACACATCATTTTCCCATATTTACAAGATTTTCCAACCATAGAAATGGGATGATCTCTGACGACAACGACTCTAGGCAAAGGAGAGCTTCCGGAGTGGCTCATGGAGGCCACTGGAGGAGCTGGGGACCCTAGAGGCCCATTTTGATGGAGTCTATGATCAAAGTCCTATCATTTTTTTGTATCTGTAGAATCCCATATTACTGTATATTGATTTCAAACGGATTACTTTGTGGTTGCGGTGTGTAATTAAGATGATTATCACACAATTTCTGCAAAGATGGCCCAAATTTTGTTTGGGATATCCAAAAAGGTTTGCCATGACATGACACGAAGAACTAGCCGAGGTGCCCAAAGAACGGCAGACCGAGGGCGTGGATTTCGGTGCCTTTGGGGGCATGGTTTTCTGGGCCTTTGGAACACCCAGGTCGGTTTGGAAACCACTAACAATGGCGAGTTTCAACCAGTGGAGCGGTTTCAGCCAACAAAGATGTGGAAGTAAGCAGTACAAAGAAAGGGCTAAACAGTAGAGGGTAACTGAGAAAAATTGAGAAATCTTTCCCCAAGTTTGGCATACCCTCTGACTACTTGGTTTCCCTATCCCCAATACTATAGTATACTATAATGTATAGTCATTTTTTTCCCCCAATATTTTCTCATAGTGGGGACCTCCATCCGCAAGGCCAGCCCTGTTGCTGTCTGTGACAGGTTGGGACTATCGCGTGGTGGGCGCGGTGATTTTTGCTCTGGGCCTCCTGTATGTAGGCTTCCAGGGCTGAGATGCCAAAGCAGCTGACAGCTGGAAAAAGGTTGGAAGGGTGATTGCATTTTTTGCGTGCAAATCCTCCATGGTTACAAGATGCTATAAGACTCGATAAGATCAGTGGTTCTCTGGGTCTTAAGTTTGACTCATACACCCGCACATGGTCTGGGGATAGGGGCTGATTCCAGATAGATATTCTTGCAATTCTGCCATGACATGATGTAGCTGGCAGTTGCGAGTCTTCCCCGCGCAACAGAACCACAGGAAACCAGCCAAGTGTCAGCTACCAACTCAAATCGTCTCACATCACCTTGCGTCACTGGTGATACTTCACAAAAGTGTTCTCATAGCACAGGTGTTTTACACATTTGCATATGAATATATCTATAATGCTTGCATATCATAGTACCACACACAATATTTGTATTTGCATCATTTTGCATCTTCATAATTCTTTCCCTCCATCTCTCTATAGATATACATAGGATTACATAGATACAGTCTCGTACACACACATATGCATCAAATGGATTTTTGAACAGCCATGAATTAAGTAGAGGTACTATTACATCATATGGATTACCATAAATCACCATTAAATCACCTTAAATTACCACACATCACCATTAAATCACCACAAAATCAGCATTAAACATATCATGCAGCTATTTACGCATGCTTTACATATCTCACATGTCCCACACCCAGCACTGAGCCGCACCGCGACGCCATGGACGTCGCGGAGCAGCTGCAGCTCTTGGATCGCCGCGTGGCGTACCTGGAGGAACTCACGGCGCACAAAGAGGCGGTCACCGATGAGTTCTCCGAAGTGGTGGAATTTCCCAAGTGAAAACCCCGAAGATATAGCCAATTTATGCCAATGAAAAATGGAAAAATGATGAACGATGGACTTTTTGGGGGCAACATATGTATACATATTTTATGCAACCAGTCAATTTGAGTGTTTAAACATTAAGAATAGCGGTTTAGCCAGTGAATACTGGATATGGATGTGTCTGAAAATGGGGTATAAGATGGTATAAGCACGAAATGGTCATCTGAAAGGGAATAATGATAAACCGTGAGATTTTGAGCGCCTTATTTAGATAGGCCCAATCAAGCTTCAAACATGGGGTTTTCGCCACGAAAAAATGGAATAAACCAAAAAACATGAACATCCTCGAGTTGAAGAACGGGGATAAACCACGAAAAAGACACAGGGGATTTGACTCAGAATGGAATCTCAGCGGCAGCACATCAGCAGATGCGGGGGATGTGGGTCGCCGTGGGTCGCCAACCACCTGGATATCCTTGGATGGGTTTACTGTTCCACTAGCTAAAATTTGGAGATTGCTAAAATATTGCATATGATTTTCCCATATGAAGCGCAATTCACAGGGGATTTTCCTTTGCCATGTTTGATTACCAGAGGGCAGCAGTTGTTCTTTTTTCCCATGGTTTATGGATGACATGGATGATTATGATGATTGAAATGCCAATCCTTGGGGGTCCAGGCATCATGAAGGACCTGTGGAATTGTGATGACCACCCCTGGCTGCGGACTTGACGACCATAGCTGATTTGGCTTGGAGTGAAGGCGGGCACTGACAAAAAGCAGCGGCATGCAACATGGAGATGAGAACCTGCAGATACTGAACAGATCAACAGGTGATCGAGACTGGGTAATATTTGGCTGGTTTCAATCTGGGGTGGAGATGATTATCGCACATCAGTTCGAAGCTTCCACCGTGGCTTACCTCAGAAGTTTTTTTCCAGACAACAAAGGCCCGAACGTTTAGATCGTGTGGAGACAACCCTCTCGCTTAAACGTCAGGGTTGTTTCTTCAGAGGATTGCAACCAGACACATGGGACACTTCACAACATGGCCTTGACCAATGGGTATGTGCTAAAGTCTGTGCTCCGTAGCCGTTTTGGCTGAACAAATTGATGCGTTAGAGTTTCCATTCCCTTCCGGTGTTTCGATTTTTTTTCTGGACAAGACGTTCTTCAAGTTTGATGGTGAATCGGCAATGCTTTCATGTGTTCTCCGCGTTTTGTTGCGGGGCCCTTGCGGGCGTGATGCTGACGACGCCCGCAAATTCATTTCTACGGCTGCGATTAAGCATCGGTGAACATTGTTCCCCAAATGTGGAAGACATAAGTTACTGGTTGCAGCAAAGTGGATCAGACAAGTTTCATACTCATCACTACGAGCGTTACTACAAAAGCTGGTTGGGAGATATGAGATGCAAACATGATTTGAAAATAGTTGAGATTGGCGCGCAAAAAGGGCAGTCTTTGAATGCCTGGGAAAGGATTTTCCCGAACTCTGAAGTCATTCTGGGCGTAGCATACGGCTCAGGAACAACTCGACTGGAAGACCACGTTTCAAAGAGAATATCCCTGTTATGGGGCGATCAATCCAAAAAAGAAACCATGGATGCCGTGGTCGAACGAGGTCCTTGGGACATCATTATCGATGATGGCTCACACTTGCCACAACATATGATGTACAGTTTCTTTTCCTTGTGGCAGAAAGCGTTGAAACCAGGTGGCATTTATGTCATCGAAGATTTGGAAACCAATTATTGGCGTGATGGGGACGGACTTTACGGATACATTTTTTCTTCCGTCGGCATTGCCACCACTGCAAATTATTCGGCTGTGAAAAAAATTGATCAGATCAGGGAAGTTCTGATGCGTTTTCAAATCGGAGCCAGAAATTTGACCGTCGCGCCAGGCGATGGGGAGCTTTGTGCCATTGAATGGGGCATGAACATTGTACGATTACGGAAATGCACCGAGGCAGAAGTCAAGAGCAACCCGCCGTGGGCGCCGATCCATTACGACGAACACATGATGGACGGTTGGTTGCGAGAGGCGCATTCAACAAATCCTGCTTTGTGAAATATCCAGATTTGCCATTGGACACCTTAGCTGGTTGGACTTGGTGTCAAAGACTTGAAAAAGTGGTGAACTGGCAACGAAGCCAGAGATTCACCCGGTGCTGTCTCAACGGCATAGGAGCACATCCAGAACCATGGCTACGTGAAAAAAAAGAGTCTGTGCGCCGTGATGCTTTTTCAAGGCTTACGCCCGGCCGGGCACTGGCACCAACAACCTTCTGGCTTCAGCTCATGTTGGGGGCTAGGTTGATGTGAAACCATGCATTGGACTTTGTGAGACCGATGTGTAGACCAGTTGGGCCACGTGAACCCATATTGGGGGTGCATGTTGAGCCGAGGTCAGCACCATGTTGGGCTCAGCTCATTTTGACCCATATTAGGACCATGTTGCACATGTTTTTGGCAATTTTGGCGTACTAGTGCAGAAGGTTGGACGGTTGGACTCCTGCTTGGTGCTCTTATCAGCAGCTGGGCCGTTTCACGAAGTCGCTTTGGGAATCAGTTTTTCTTTGAAGGAATAGATGAACCGCTTGATCATGACTCAAGATCTGTTTCAGCCAACATGATTGCACTTGCGCAGACCTGTTTACGATGAATGATCTCCACACTTGTCCTCACATATGCATGTAATGGATTTTTGAACAGCCATGAATTATATAAGTAGAGGTACTATTACATCATATGGATTACCATAAATCACCATAAATCGCCATTAAATCACCTTAAATTACCACACATCACCATTAAATCACCACAAAATCAGCATTAAACATATCATGCAACTATTTACGCATGCTTTACATATCTCACATGTCCCACATCCACTGAGCCGCACCGCGACGCCATGGACGTCGCGGAGCAGCTGCAGCTCTTGGATCGCCGCGTGGCGTACCTGGAGGAACTCACGGCGCACAAAGAGGCGGTCACCGATGAGTTCTCCGAAGTGGTGGAATTCCCAAGTGAAAACCCCGAAGATATAGCCAATTTATGCCAATGAAAAATGGAAAAATGATGAACGATGGACTTTTTGGGGGGTAACATATGTATACATATTTTATGCAACCAGTCAATTTGAGTGTTTAAACATAAAGAATAGCGGTTTAGCCAGTGAATACTGGACATGGATGTGTCTGAAAATGGGGTATAAGATGGTATAAGCACGAAATGGTCATCTGAAAGGGAATAATGATAGACAGTGAGATTTTGGGCGCCCTATTTAGATAGGCCCAGTCAAGCTTCAAACATGGGGTTTTCGCCAGGAAAAAATGGAATAAACCAAAAAACATGAACATCCTCGAGTTGAAGAACGGGGATAAACCACGAAAAAGACACAGGGGATTTGACTCAGAATGGAATCTCAGCGGCAGCACATCAGCAGATGCGGGGGATGTGGGTCGCCGTGGGTCGCCAACCACCTGGATATCCTTGGATGGGTTTACTGTTCCACTAGCTAAAATTTGGAGATTGCTAAAATATTGCATATGATTTTCCCATATGAAGCGCAATTCACAGGGGATTTTCCTTTGCCATGTTTGATTACCAGGGGGCAGCAGTTTTTCTTTTTTCCCATGGTTTATGGATGACATGGATGATTATGATGATTGAAATGCCAATCCTTGAGGCACTCTCTTGCAGAGTTATTTCAACACCACGCCAGGCCCAGCTTGTGGCCAGTGAACACAGCTGGGAATGTGACTTGTCGCTGTCATGCCAATGGCGATAATGGCGATGTGACCCCATGGCGCTTTCAGATCTATAGTGTACATATAACTATATATATATATAGTTATTAACAATATAGTTATAGTTAGCTATATAGTTATATATAGTTATTTTTGATCCATAATATATAGTTATCCACTAATCTACCTCAAAATGAATATTATGTTGACACATCCCTAGACCATACACAATTGGAATATCAACTCATCAAGTCAAACGGTTTAAGCCGTACGTCTTGGCAAGTATCTTGTTGTATATATAGATATATGAGTCATGTACACATTCGCTACCCATTACCCACACACGGCTTTGATTGAGAATATGATAGCCCATTTCATATCAGGCAAAGGATCATCATGTTCCCCATTTTGGAATGGCCACAACATGTGGGATATTTATATTACCCATAGTTGGCTAACCCCAGATGTTGTTGTTTAGATCCGTTGATGTTTTAAATGGCAATAGGCACAATGCTTGTATACAATCTGTTATGTCCGGTATGTATTGCAGTATAACTATTGAATACACCATGTGGTGGGGCGTCCAGTTATGTTGGATTAGAAACACCATTTACAGTATCCCAAGGCCATAAACAACTACCCTTTGGGGATGGTCTATACTGCATAAATCTTGTGATTTTAGGGATGGTTGATTATTGGCTTTACCGTACCTTATCTACCACAAACTAACCTATAAACTAACTATGGTGACATTTAAGCCATATTATTTTTCTAGTTAACCAACATATCACCAGCATTTTGTACAAAATGTCATAAATCCACTTCGCCAACCGCAGCCATGTGCTGCCGAGGTATGACCTCCAGCAACGTGCTGAAGTTCCTGAAGGCCTTGCAAGGTGAAGTGTCAACGTTCCTTGGATTTTTCGATTATTTTCCCAGCTATCAACCTGTCATCTTTGATCAAAGCTTGGGGATGTTCCATGGAGGATTTAGGGGATTTTTTTTCTGAGCCATTGAGGGGATTTTCCATTGCCACCTTTTACTACCAGAGGGTACATCGTGAAAGACCACCTAGTGGTGAATGGAGGGAAAGTTTTGGAGCTAGGCTGAGCTAGGGGTATTCATGTTCCCGTTTTGAAATGGGGAGCCCAGGAGCTACTTAGAGTTTCCCGACCACATGATAGTTTCTATACGGTGTACCCATATACTCACACATGTATCACATGTGTTTATCTCCCTTTCTCCCTCTCTATAATATACACATATATATTACATACATATATATTACATACATACATACATACATACATACATACATACATACATAACATAACATAACATAACATAACATAACATAACATAACATAACATAACAATACATACATACATACATACATACATACATCCATCCATCCATGCATCCATGCATGCATGCATCCATACATGCATACATACACACACATACATACATACATACATACATAAATACATACATACATACATACATACATACATACATACATACATACATACACAGATCTCTCTATCTCTACAGATATGACACACACACACATATATATATATATAAAATATACATGTGCATGTCTATATGGATATATGTATGGGTGTTCTCATTGTGGGCATAGATTTGATTTTAAATGTGTCTATGCATATTATACAGACATCTAGACATCTAGATTCATCGGATAGGATCAACTCAGATGGGGACTCCGCGAGGCAAAAACGGGTATGTTATGGGGATTCCCCCAGCAAAACCAGGAATGGTGATTTATAGATATTTTATAGTTAGATTAGAACCCATTAAAATCCATGAAAATCCACTGAACTCCGGTTTTCCATAAATCTAAAAGCTGGTGGCACGCCCCAGGCTGCGGCGGGCTCTACCAATGACGCTGAAACTGCACCGAGCTGGTGGTAGTTTGGGAGGATCCCCTGCCCCAACAAAAATCTGAAACAAAACCTTCATAAGGTGGTAAATCCAATGATCAACCTACTATTTCGGGTTGCTTTATAGATGTTGAAACCAACTTTTTTTTGGTCAAAAAAGGGGATGCTACAGATGCTTGGGTTTACCTCATGAAAATTGGGTGGCCTTAGCCTTAGATCCAGAGCATTCAGAAACATGATGAATCATCAACATCATGACTAATTACCCTCTGGTAAACTAACATAGCTATGGAAAATCACTATTTTTAATGGGTAAATCCACTATAAATTGCCATTTTCAATAGCTATGTTAAATTACCAGACGGTAATTATCCGAAATATCATGAACGTAATGAATGTGATTATGATGATGGTGATGATGATGGCCACGAATGATACCAATTACATTCTAATTACTACTAATAATAGAAATCTTAAGACAACAACGATCATCAACAACACCTACAGGTCTCATACCGATGTGTTGCGCCACCAGCTCAGTTTTTCGTGGGCTCAGGAGCGACGAGGTGCATGCCTTGCGAGAAGTCGTCAACTCCATGCAAGGCGGCGGTGGAACATCAAAAAGGGGGATTCACCATGAAAAAAGTTTTTTTTTTTTAAATAATATATATATATAAGGATAACATGGTATATATATATATGTACATGTACGTGTACATAGAATATAAAGATATAAATATATGTACATATGTATTTGTATACACATCGGGGATATAGTGGATTTACCTTCCAGAAGTTAGCATTTTGTGATTTGGAACACCCACCAGAAATATAGATAATGTTATAACTTAAGTACCTCCGGTAGTCAAACATGGCTAGGTGGGATTTTCCTGCACATGTGCATTTAAACGTGAAAATCATCTATAATGAATGATGGATTTCTATTGCCAAGTTTGACTTATATGCATGGGAAAATGATGAGGATAGAATGGGAATATGAATTAATGGGGATGTAATAGGATATAATGAGATATAATGAGATATTATGGGATATCCCTTTTTAGTAAGATACAACCAGCAATATGAATCTGGGTTTGTCCAGAAACCCGGGACAACCCAAATTGTAGCCATTTGGCCATTTCAACTGAACATATGATGATTGAGCAAAAACAAATTGGGGTACATCCTATTCTCAGACATCCCCAATTCGGCGGTGTGAGATGTATTTTGCCAAGTCAGAACTAGGATGCAAATCAAGTTTGACAATAATCGGCAAAAGCAAGAAACAGGTGTAATGGAATGGATGGACTGGGCCTGGTTCAGCCTTGCGATACAAAGAACCACAGGTCTCATTATGTTTACTCTTGAACCACTCAACGTGAGAGCTTCACACAAGGTGGACTTTCACCCTTTTGCAATCTGGACATATTGCAATTTTTGGCAGCTGCTATGGTTTTAATATGTTTTCAATTTTTGGCAGCTGCTATGGTTTTAATATGTTTTCATTTTGTTGCGACATGGTGGTTGCTTGTGTTTCACCCTCCAGTCAATGCCAGTAAATTGACATTTTGTGATATGGAACACCCACCCGAAAGGTACTTGTAGAACATTTTCTTTCCGGTTCACCGCTTTAACCAGATCTAACCCCTAAAAAGCGATAGAACAGCAATTTACCACTAGATAATCCACTATTTTCTGCATTTTTTTGAGGGTTTGCCATACTAATAATGGAGTTCGCAAAGAACATGTGATTTAGCGAAGAATGGCCGGTTCCGGATGAACGAATTTGGATCAACCACCATTTTTTTTTTGGTGGCGATCTGAAGTGCCAATCTCCGGCGCAGGCTCGGTTGATCTGATGAAGAACAAAACGCAGGCCATGGAGACGCTTGGATTGTCAGGCGCAGAATCATCCATTGGGGTGGAACCCCGGTGAGAAATTATGATAGTATACAGATCTATACGGCATACACGAGTAATAAAAGAAGAGTTTTGGATAATCAAACTGTAATCAACCAGTTTATTTTCGTTCTTTCGTTCTTTCTTTCGTTCTTCCTTTCTTTCTGATGGCGATGGCGCTGGCTTTGGAGATGGCGATGGAGATGGCTTTGGAGATGGCGATGGCTTTGGCGATGGCTTTGTCGATGGCTTTGTCGATGGCGATGATGGCGATGATGGCGATGATGGCGATGATGATGATGATGATGATGATGACGATGACGATGACGATGACGATGACGATGATAAACAACAATGGGATTTTAGAGTATTCCAGCCCGAATTTCGCAGGGAAAGTGCCTGTGGTTGGATAATCCCCCATTTTTCTGGACATGCAGATGTGGTCGCAATGTTCCTTTAGGAATCATTAGTGTGGAACTTTGCAAGCGGAATGGTGTTTTGAGCCAAGGCGGAATTTGCGGGATGTCAATGGACACATTGACTCCAGTCACTCCAGCTTAATGGACAAGCAGACACGATCCTTGGCACATCTTTGCACTGCATCAAACTCCTGAGGGACAGACGAGTTTCATCCGACAGCTGAAAATACCAAGGAATGGAATCCGCAATGGGCCACTCAATTGGTAACTCGACAGTCAAGTGTTGATGCTCCTCGAAGCGTTGGGAGAGTACCCTCCGGTCAAACCTTGCTGGAAAATCACCAATTTCGAGATGATGTTTCCATTATAAAGCATTTATTATGGGATTTCCCAGCCATGTTCGAGTACCGAAGGGTATGCAGTGGAAACCAGTCCAGTTTGGCGCTGGTCCACCCAGGAGGTCAGATAGGAGGTGATGTCTGAATTTGGTGATTCTCCGGCAATCCATCCGGGCGAAGTTCCCAATTTCAAGTGGTAAACATTAATATGTAAACATCATAGATAATGAATTCCTCAATAGTGTTCAATATATCCCTACATTATCATCCCTAGAAATCTCCATTTGAAATAATCCTTCAAGAGTCTAGAGCTGTGGGATTTTGTTTGCCCCATCACCCAGCCAGTTGGTGTTGGTTCAGGCACGGAGCTGCCCGCCATCCGTTCGGACCTGAAGGGTCTTGAGCGAGCCGCTCGGAAAAGGTGGGAAATTCAGCAAAACAAGGGGGTTCTAGAGGTTTTTGGAGGATTTTTCCATTTTCCAGAATTATCCACATTATGAACTGATGTTTCTCTAGCAGATTCTACACGGGTCTTGAGCCTTGACTTAAGTATTGAGTCACATCATCTTCTTGAAGGGGCATCTTGAGTCGTGCCCGTCATGTAAGACTCAGTTGTGTGACATCAGCGGGGTGAGTGATGAGCGCCTGCCACATAAGATGTGCCTTCCCCCCTGTATCATTATTTAATGGGGGTTCCAGTGAGTTTTTTTTGTTTTGTGGTTTCAAAGGTCTTGAATTAATCCCAACTTGGGATGATCATCCAGACATTTTTTGGGTCACAACCACCATCCAACCATGACTTGTCGGAGTTGGGGCAGTGCCTTTCATCACTGAGGATCTGCGGCTGAAACAGGATAGCTGGCTGAAAGAAGCTGGCATGAAACTGCAGTTCGGCGCAAATCAGGAGGAAGATGGGTGATGCATATGATACATCATGGGCACACAAGCATACATGTTATGGGCTTAATGCTATACGGTAGTGCATGTGTTTGTGTATGCCCATACAATATACAATTTAATGGCATACCATGTTATGTGGGGAACATATAACATAAATTTTAAATATAATGCGCCATATAATGATATAGATATATACACATGTTATATATATACACATGTTATATATATATACATTACATAGAATATATATATATACATTACATACAATAGATATAACATACACACATATGTATATATATATACATGATATAACACATATATATATATAATATAACATACAGATATAATATAACATATACATACAATATAACACATATTAATATAATATATTATATGAGCAAGGGTCAAAAGATGGTATGTAGAGATTTTGTATTCGGCCGCCGTCACTTCTAGAAATGTGTGATTTCCTGTGGGAGCGATAGGGGACCTTGAAGAGTGATACCCCCTTAAGTAATGCAAATATGTTGTCATGGCAACATGCGTGCACTTTCCAGAGGTTTTGGAGCAAAACTTCTGACACCTGCTGTATCTCAACCAGCAAGACACCCACACGCTCTCACCAAGACATTCTCTCTCTCTCTCTCCCTCTCCCTCTCTCTCTCTCTCTCCCCCTTTCTATCTTTCTATCTCTCTCTTTCCCTCCCTCCCTCCCTCCCTCCGCTCTCCCTCTCCCTCTCCCTCTCCCTCTCCCCCTCTTTCTCCCTCCCTCTCCCTCTCTCTCTCCCCCTTTCTCGCTCTCCCTCTCCTTTTCCCTCTCCCTCTCTCTCTCTCCTTCTCTCCTCTCTTACGCACACACGCACACACCCGCACGCACCACACCTGAGCGCACGCGTACAAATGATTTGAAGATGTGCAAGAAATAATCGTACATGCTTTCTTCTTCCCATGTCTGTCTTCAGTGTGCAGACAACAGCTGCAAGAAGCAGATCAGGCGATGAGTAAGCGATACCCCAAATCAGCAGAAGTAGACAGACCCCCAGACTTGGGGAGAAGACGGCAGCTGCTTCCGGACTTTGAAGAGCATGGCAGAAAGCATCTTGTGGCGGCTTGTGCTCGCAAGTGCGTCCTTCAAGCCAAGTGGCGGGCATCAGCGACACCATGATTTAGTTCCAGCTTCTCTACCAACTTTGAGGGGGAAAGCGCCTTGCATGGCTACAAAACTAGTCCCTAAATAATTTATATTATACATCTCACTGACAGAGTTTGACAGAGAATCGTGGATGCCTGCCTGAACATGTATGTCATGCTTCATCATATTTAGCAAAAGTGAGCTCCCACTGTGTGAAACGATACGGAACCTTGAGAAGCGATACCCCTAAACTGATGACCATGGAGTCAATACCATGTTTAGACCGTCGCACATATATACAATAATATAATATATATAATATAGCATATACATAATGTAATATATATATAGATATATATTTAACATAGCATGTGTATAATGATATATATATATGTGTGTGTATGGTCAGAACCGACCTCTCATATATATATATACTTGCATACATATATATCTTCTTGGACTTTATATACTCTTCAACTTGCTGTATATACAATCTCTACCTACATATGGTCAGCGCCGCCCTGACCAGGTGGTTACTTGTCAGGTGCTTCGCAGGGCAACACTCACCAACAACTGATAAAACTGCAAAAACTGAAAAAACGGAAAAAACTTGAAATTGTTTTTTCAGTTTTTCAGTTTTTTCAGTTTTGTTCACCAGTTCCTTATGGCCGGCCATTCGCTAGCCTTCCCGAAGTCATCCAGCTTCAACCTCCAAAACTGCATGGTAACTGTCTGCGTTCAAAGCACCCAACTGCATTGAAAATGTGCTGATTCTCCGGAGCTGTCTGCATTTGCATTGCACCTGTCTGTCTCTACTGCAGCCACGTCTGTTCTTCTCGACTTGTCTATCCCTTGTTCGCAGTTCCCTCGGCATGGCACAGGTTGCGGAGGACATGACCTTCAATGATTTGGAAGCTGCCTGCGACGGAGATTTTTTTGCTGCTCGCTTTCAGCACCTTTTGTGCCCGCGCTTTTGCCACGTGGCAATTGGAGCCACGTGAGCTTCCCAATGTCTGAGTGCACCGATGCAGACAATCCCACGGTGCACTTGCTCGAGGTCATCGCCGGGCACATTATGAACATTTCCTTCGAAGATCTTGGTGGTCACTACAAGCATGCTGTCAGCAACAAGGACTTGCAGCTGCTTCCTTCTCCCTTTGGTCCCAAGGTGCCTGTGTCATCAGATGTCAAGCTCCAGCTAGTTGTGACAGAGGAAAATGATGGAACAGTCACCATTTTGAAGCACTACCAGTTCCCAAGCAAGGCTAAATTCAACCTCGTCAAGACCATTGCCACTGGTACTTTGCACCGGCCAAACTTCATGAGCAAGAAGCCAATCGTGGGGAAGAAAATTCTGCAATACTGTCCGCAAGGTATGGCCGAGTCTTCGATTTAGCCACCGAAAGCATGTCCTCGAATTCGAAGCACTAGGCCTTTGAAGAGCTGGATGATGATGCCTTGGAACTTGGTGGCTTCAACTTCCTACGCAAAAATGCTCCTCGAAGTGGAAGTGATCTGCAGCGACTGGCATGGCAAGCCGAAGAAGTTCGCAAAAAAACTCCCCAATCTATGGCTGGCCTCTGAGCTTGGTGGAGAAGTCGTTGCGGTGCTTGTCTTCCGATGGTGCACTTGCACGCAAAGAGTTCGATTGGCCTTTTCCTCTGACCGAGAAGTTTTACCACAAATTAAATGGATCCTGGAGAAATTGGAGGGCATTTGGAACATTTGGAACTTTGATGTGGCTTCCTTAGTCATGCTTGGAGAACCATGCGCAGGAAAAAAAGTCCATTGGGCCGTAGCATTCTGATGGCGCAGTGCCGCTACAATCAAACAAAACTCCAGCGTGAGGCGTGAGGATGCTCCATGTCTTCGCTGCACGCCCGAAGTTAACTTTCTTGGTGGCGAATCAAGTGTTGTGAAAATGGGTGATTTCTTGGACGACCCTGAAATGCAGCATGTAGGTGTCAAAATCTTGAAGTCATTCTTGGACGTTGGCTTGTTCGAGGCGATGGCTTGGGCGCGTTGGGGCGCATCCAAGTGGGTACAAAACCAACCCCGGGCCATTGCTGCGAATGCATATGATGCTCGTGTTGATGAGGGTCACATCTTGGTACCGCACCTGCCTTTCAAGGACTTTTGGGAGATGATCCGCCCAGCTGTGTCTGAGAATGCATCTCATGCAGATATCAACGCAATCCTCAAACGAGCCGTCTTCATCGTCGTGACCAAGAAGTTCCTCTACTTCAGGCCTGATGGTGTGAACGAGGATCCAGTTGCGCGCATTGCTGTGGAGAGCCCAGATTTTTTGACAAGCCAAGGTAAGGAACTCTATGGTTTGTTCAAGGCCAACAAGAAGACTTTCCCACCCGACTTTCAGGAGGAGGTCAAGAAGGAACAGGCTTGGGTGTCTTTGCTTAGCTGAGAAGGAGCGCGAAAAAATGCAAAAAGCTCTCTGGGGCTCCGGTCCGGCTACCACATGCCTCCAGAAAGCTCGTGACGAAGCCAAGGCCGCAGAGGAGGACAAGGTTCAAAAACATAGCATCCCCTTCGTCAAAATGGAAATGCAAGAGTCTCTTGTCTACAATTAGAAAATGTGGTCGCAACCTGTCATGCTTGCATTCCTTATTCCTTTCCTCTCACCAAGTTCCATTCTTGTCCCCTAATTCTCTGCCAAGGTACCAGGAGCGCATGCCTGCTTGGCTCGGGAAACACGCAATGATCCAGTGGATGTGGACCAAGATCGCTGCACATGTGAAAAGGGAACGCCTTGTCTTCCAGTCCCTCTGCTCGCACAGTGCCGTCATTGATCTCAGCAGCCCTACCCCTTCTCCCAAAGGAAGAAGATGTCATCAGCAGCACTGGCAGTTAATTAATCCTGACAATTCTGAGCTTGGCTTTTCTTCTGACCATGAAGAGACCTTCAATGGTCGAACTTTGGAAGAGGATCTGGAGCAGATGATGGAGGAGGAAGGCTTCACTTTCCACGAGACTGGCTTGGAGTGAGAGCTTAGTGTGTGTGTGTGTGTGTGGCAAGTTCTCTTGTGTCATTATAAAGGACATTCACGACGCTTGTGTCTGTACCTGCATCGACCGGCAGCCATGCCAATGGAAAAATGTTGTCTTGGGTGCTGTGCCTGTGTTCTTCTCCTGTTGTGGCTTCCCAGTTGGGATCCGTGGTGCGTCGTTGTCAGTTGGGGCGACCTGGCTGGCTCGACAATCCTTCGCTCCCCGGTGGATTGCCTTCACAGTTGCTTCACTCACTATTGCATTCCTAGGCTTCCCGGTTGGGATCCCTCTTGCGTCGTTGTCGGTTGGGGCAACCTGGCTGGCTCGACAATCCTTGGCTCCCCGGTGGATTGCCTTCGCAGTTGCTTCACTCATTATTGCATTCCTAGATACATTGCCGATGTCAATGACACCTCTGTTCCGATCCATCGTGTATATGCTTGTTAATGTCTGCATTCACTCTTGTCTTGCTGCCTTGGCCTTCAAATGTCACAGTGCCGTCCTGTTAGATTCATTGCGATACCTCACCAGCTGTCATTTAGCTCACAACCATAGCAGAAGTAGTCTTGTGATTGTAGCTGTCATGCCGAAGATCCCCATGAAATATCGTGCGCCCTCTGCGTGGCCTATGCCCAAAAGAGGCAAGGTGAGAGCTAATCTCAAGAAGCCTGCTGCAGCTACGAAAAGAGCCAACAAGAAAGCTTCAAATGTCCCGTACACTCGTGTTAAAGGATTCCGGACGAAGTTCTACAAAGAACGTGTGCGCTAGTGTGTCTCTATCCAAGCACTCACAAGCATGAATCAGCAAAATTGATTCAGCAGAAATTGACACAAGATACTCGTAGCATCTTGCAAGTGTGGACTGGAAGTCCTTGTCCCCATTGTGCGGCTGGGCGTTTGGGTCCTTTGACTTACTTTCGACAGAAAGAAGTCTGGGTCCATCGCTGCTCGCGTAAGTCGTGTCAAAAGCGCGTCCAGCCACACGACTCTCATCCCATCTTCTTTGGTGGAAGTGGCAATGCCTTCATTCCGTTGGCTACCAGGCAGCCATCCTCCTGTGTGCTGTAGCTGGTGTGCCTGTAGCATCAGTGCCATCCATTCTGGATATGGATGACAAGGCAGTGTTCCGCATCTATGCCAACTTGGAGGTGGCCCGTGCACGCCATATGGAGATGAAGGAAAAGAACATCATCTATGACAAGGCACAGAAGTGGTGTGATGTCGAAGCAGACGAAGTGGACTTGGGCAAATAAGTCGTCCGACGTGGTCGCCCAAAGACACTGAATCTGTTCCGCTTGCAGCCTTCTCCAACGAAACCACGCTCACCTGGCCCTGGTCCCATCCGTCGCAGAGAGTGGCTGCCGATTGCAAAGAAGTACCTGCAGGACCGACAAGTAATTCTCCACACAGACGGTGCCAAAGCATATAAGTAAGCTTGCATTGTCGGGTGTCATTCACGATGTTGTACATAAGAAAAAGAAAGTCTCTGTGAATGGCAAACAGACTTGGGTGAGACCGCATTACACAAAGCTTTGCACCCACACCTTGCCAAATGGCAAGAAAATTCGTGTGAAAGCAGGCGCTCAAGTCATTGATCGCTTCTGGGGACATGTCCGTGTGTACTTGAAACATTCACCTCGCCGTGTCGGGTCTTGAGCATTGAAGCACAAAATCCGCGCGGCCCAGTGGACTGGCATAAAGGTGATAATTTTTGGACTGCAACGGCAAAAATGCTGCAGGACTTGCACAGATAGACAAGATGACCGGCTGCCGAGGAAAAAAGTGTCATTTTGTTACACATGCACGTCCAATCTATTCACATCATTGCACTGTATCTTTCAGCCTTGTCTGCGCAGTGGCTTCCTGGCTGCTCTGGCGCAAATTATCTGCTTTTCTACGGCTGACGGAAACGCAGATAGAGAGCATCGGGAAGACATGGTGGCCAAGGCCAGTTTTGGGCTGGTGTCCTTCTTATACTGTATACCAGACGACTCATCTGTATTTTGGGGGCTGGCCAAAATGCAGATGGAGTTTACCGCAAAGCTGTGCTGTCATTTGCTGGCTTCAGGTCGGGCATGCAGTCTCTGGTGCCCGTAAACTTGAGAACATTTGACCAGAGATACCTGGAAAAGGCTCGTGTTGGTTCAGCCTTGTCTGCGCGGTGGCTTCCTGGCTGCTCTGGCGCAAATTATCTGCTTTTCTACGGCTGACGGAAACGCAGATAGAGAGCATCGGGAAGAAATGCTGGCGAAGGCCAGTGATGGGCTGGCGTCCTCCTTACTGTATGCCAGACGACTCATCTGCATTTTGGGAGCTGGCCGAAATGCAGATGGAGTTTCCCGGGAAGCTGTGCTGTCATTTGCTGGCTTCAGGTCGGGCATGCAGTCTCTGGTGCCCGTAAACTTGAGAACATTTGACCAGAGATACCTGGAAAAGGCTCGTGTTGGTTCAGCCTTGTCTGCGCAGTGGCTTCCTGGCTGCTCTGGCGCAAATTATCTGCTTTTCTACGGCTGACGGAAACGCAGATAGATAGCATCGGGAAGAAATGCTGGCCAAGGCCAGTGATGGGCTGGCGTCCTTGTTACTGTATACCAGACGACCCATCTGCATTTTGGGAGCTGGCCGAAATGCAGATGGAGTTTCCCGGAAAGCTGTGCTGTCATTTGCTGGCTTCAGGTCGGGCATGCAGTCTCTGGTGCCCGTAAACTTGAGAACATTTGACCAGAGATGCCTGGAAAAGGCTCGTGTTGGTTCAGCCTTGTCTGCGCAGTGGCTTCCTGGCTGCTCTGGCGCAAATTATCTGCTTTTCTACGGCTGACGGAAACGCAGATGGAGTTTACGGGTGCTGTTGCGAGGAAGGCTTGCTTTGCTGTGGCTTCTCGTCGGGCGTGCATTCTCGGGTCCTTAAATATAGGTTTGAGATGGCTTGAGAAGACCTGGCCAGAGATAGCTTGAGAAGGCTTCTGTGAGTTCAGGCTTGATGTTGCGGGTGGCTCTAAATGTTGCGGGCGGCTCGAAATGACCGTGTCCCACAATCCGCATTTCCCAGCTGCATTTTGTGACAGTAGCAGAATGCAAATATGTTACTGAAGGAAACCAATTGGTTTTCCTGTCTGAAAGGGCTGAACGCAAAAGAAACCATTTGCATTTTGCGAGCGGCTCTAAATGCAGATGGAATGACCAAATGCAGGAGATAACCGTTATGAATTGCCATCTGCTTTTTGCCAGCAACTAGAAATGCAAATGACCGTGTCCCACAATCCAAAGTTCCCAGCTGCATTTTGTGACAGTAGCAGAATGCAAATATGTTACTGAAGGAAGCCAATTGGTTTTCCCGTCTGAAACGGCTAAAGGCAAAAGAAACCATTTGCATTTTGCTGGCGGCTCTAAATGCAGATGGAATGACCAAATGCAGGAGATAGCCGTTATGAATTGCCATCTTCTTTTTGCCAGCAGCTAGAAATGCAAATGACCGTGTCCCACAATCCAAAGTTCCCAGCTGCATTTTGTGACAGTAGCAGAATGCAAATATGTTACTGAAGGAAACCAATTGGGTTTCCTGTCTGAAAGGCTAAACGCAAAAGAAACCACTTGCATTTTGCGAGCGGCTCTAAATGCAGATGGAATGACCAAATGCAGGAGATAACCGTTATGAATTGCCATCTGCTTTTTGCCAGCAACTAGAAATGCAAATGACCGTGTCCCACAATCCGCATTTCCCAGCTGCATTTTGTGACAGTAGCAGAATGCAAATATGTTACTGAAGGAAACCAATTGGTTTTCCTGTCTGAAAGGGCTGAACGCAAAAGAAACCATTTGCATTTTGCGAGCGGCTCTAAATGCAGATGGAATGACCAAATGCAGGAGATAACCGTTATGAATTGCCATCTGCTTTTTGCCAGCAACTAGAGAATGCAAATGACCGTGTCCCACAATCCAAAGTTCCCAGCTGCATTTTGTGACAGTAGCAGAATGCAAATATGTTACTGAAGGAAGCCAATTGGTTTTCCTGTCTGAAAGGGCTGAACGCAAAAGAAACCATTTGCATTTTGCGAGCGGCTCTAAATGCAGATGGAATGACCAAATGCAGGAGATAACCGTTATGAATTGCCATCTGCTTTTTGCCAGCAACTAGAAATGCAAATGACCGTGTCCCACAATCCAAAGTTCCCAGCTGCATTTTGTGACAGTAGCAGATTGCAAATATGTTACTGAAGGAAGCCAATTGGTTTTCCTGTCTGAAAGGGCTGAACGCAAAAGAAACCATTTGCATTTTGCGAGCGGCTCTAAATGCAGATGGAATGCTTTTTGCCAGCAACTAGAAATGCAAATGACCGTGTCCCACAATCCAAAGTTCCCAGCTGCATTTTGTGACAGTAGCAGAATGCAAATATGTTACTGAAGGAAGCCAATTGGTTTTCCTGTCTGAAAGGACTGAACGCACAAGAAACCATTTGCATTTTGCGAGCGGCTCTAAATACAGATGGAATGACCAAATGCAGGAGATAACCGTTATGAATTGCCATCTGCTTTTTGCCAGCAGCTAGAAATGCAGATGGAAGCCGCGAATCCCGCAGATGTTGAACAGGGATTTCGCGTGTGCGCGTTGTTCGGGCCGGCGTTCCCTGCGTATGTGGTGGGGCATCTGGTGGCCCAGGGCTTTCAACCTTTTTCTTTTGCACGGAAGTTGTATGGTGTGACCATCAAATTTCACAGCGATTTTGCTAATTCTTGCAATCCATGGACTCACGAAGCCAACATGACTCCAAACTTGTTGTTTTTGACATCATGAGATATCCTGAGCCAATGCCCAGTCAAATATATAAATAGAGGCTGCAGTTTCAAAACTGCAGACCATCTACATTGTTGTTCAGTGATTTGGGATTAGGATGCAATAGGCTCAATAGATTGAACATGATTGAACTTGGTTCTACTGAGTTGATTTGTAGGTGTTGTGACAGTGGTTGTTTTCTTTCAAGCAATTTGCACATTGTTTTTTGAGGTTTGCAGGCCTACCCTTGCGTTTCCACCCACTTTGATTTTTCGATCAGTTTACATATATATATATGTATATAATATAAGGAAACAATATCAAACAAAATATCAAACAATATCATATATCAAATCACATGTCATGGTGGGATCTCTTTGCTCTCAACGTGTGTGGTTCGCAGTGTGTTGTTGCATTCCTAGGGCCATGCTATCAAGATACCTCAACTAACTATCAAGTTCTTCTGCGCTAATTGGGTCATTTCCTAGGTGACCTTGCTTCTTTCTCTAGGTTGTTGTTTGTACCCGTTTGTCCGTTTACTTGCAGCTAGTGTGCCTCTGCGAGATGAACTTACTAAAGCCGAACCTAACCTGCAAATATTTGTTTGGGATGCGTTATTTTATGCGTTTCTTCTCAAAGGCTTGTTGCTTGGCAGTTGCAAACAGTCTTCCTGGAAAACATTGATAGATGTTCAATCAGCAAGGAATATAATAGAAACAAACGGCATATACCAATGGAGTTGCAAAAGAACCCGGTGACCAACTGCTATACATGAATTCTAAAGCAACAATTTATGCAATAATTATTGGGCATTTTCTTGCACAACTTGTCCAGCAATAAGACGAGGCCTTCAAATAAACATTGTGCACACCTAAAAAGCCAACAGCGTGAAACATCGTGAAACTAGCGTGCAACTGGCGTGAAACCCCTTTTTTTGGCGTGAACCCCCATTAAATGACGTGAACGACATGTATCAAAAAGGGGCATTGTTTTTAACAATTGCGACTTCGATTCCACAGTTTCTGCATTCTGCGCCAAGAATTTGTGGCTGATGAAAGAGTTTATCAAGTTCATGACCGAATACATACCTAAAGAACCAATTCCAGTAGAACTAGGAGAGCGAGTGTAGAAGCCAAAGGGTGTATGTACATATTCATAGTTTTTTTTCAAGGGATGTCTGTGCAATCGACAATTGAAGCCACATTGAAGTGTATCTATGTGTGTTATAATGCAAGCTGGTCCCATGTCTACATAATGCTTGCAGTCTTTCTATACCTTCGGCTCACTTCTAAATCAACCCCCTGCGTCTACCAGCAACACAAGCAAAGAAGAAAGCACAACTGTAACCAGGGAATACTTTCACCATCTTTGACCAATCAAATGGTAGGGCTGCCAGACTCTTAGACCAGCTTAAAATATGTGACAAACGCTTGCTGTAGGTACTTAGTATATTGGGCTTTGTGCAATATAAGTACGACAGATGTTATCTGCTGACAAAAGATGCCACATCGTCTCTGAACCAGCCAAGCTATACCGCATTGCACCGTTTCATTTATTGACTGGGTGCTGGAATGAAAAGCAAGCTTTTGGGAATAGACAAGTAATTTGCCTGATGCTCTTTATTGTTTGTTTTTCTCTTCCTGCCACTGTTTAATTTATACTGTTTGAAACATTACTTAGAAAAAGACTGAGAGAGGCAATGACAAATTCAAAAAATACACACATGATTGGCTGACCTTGTATATGGATATGGTTGCCCAAGTTTGTTTGTGACAGACCATTTATGGCAATTTCTGACAGACCACATGAAACTTAGAATCAGCACATTCACATGAAATAGGCCAAATATTGCTGCTTGTAGTACGGTGTCATTGGTAAACAGCTCGGAAGTCTCAACTCTTTTCTCAGCGCACTACCGCGACTGCGGAAAAAAAAGAAACACAGAGCAAGCGCTAAAATGAAGGAATTTCATTGTGCAAGTACAGGAACATGTTCGCGTGTGGTGCTTGCATGCTGTGATGGAATCTAGCGCACAGTGAAACGCAACGTATTTCGCAACATTGCAAGGTCCAAATGTGTTAAACTCAATAATTAATTTGTCTAGGGGATGTAAGTCTTCAAACTATTCAGTACTTCAAACCAGAACGTATTGAAATTTCGTTCCGACCATCCCAAATCCACAATAGAATAAATTGATGATGTCTACTGGTTTGTGTCTGGAAGTAATGACATTTTCATAGGTGGGTGGATTTTGTTCCAATGGATTACTCATGGTTTGAGAATTGTTTAGGTTGCTGTTCAAACATAAAATGAAGGTGTCTGAAGTCTTTGCCGCCGTCTTTCTTACTCTTGGACATCCGCTTTTGATCTGCTCGTGAAAAGGAAAGTGGATTTGCCTCGCCAGTCTTGAGAACATCTTTTTGCTTTGCCCTTTGAACTTCACTTCAGCTCTCCCAGTCTGAATAATGGCATTCACTCGAACGAAGCAAAAAAACTGAACACACAACAAAATGAACCACTTGCCAGAATAGCACAGGTTCATAACAAACAAAGGGGAATAGTAGAACCCCCTTTGTTTCAAAGGTGTTTGGAAAGTCAGGGGGAATGTACAATATCATATTGTTTTTGAGGGAGCCTTGTCCTCTGCCCACCACTATGGGCTGCTTCCGGTGGCTGTGGGCAAAACCTGAGGACCAGGGGCATTGTGCAAAACCTTTTGGATCGCAGTGTGCTTTGATTTTGGCCTCATTCTTTGTGGTTTTTGTTGGCAGGACTATGACCACTGTCCCTTTGGCAGCGCTTTTGCAAGAATCCTCCGCGAGGCACCAGCCCCTGGCGCCCCTGGGGCGTGAGTGTTTTTCATATCGTTTTCATAATGAGACAACATACTGGACTGCAGGATCTCGCGCGCAGCTCGCCGCTGCGGAAGCTTTGAGCTCAAGTGCGCAACTGCATGTTGCTGCGAAGATGGCATCAAATTTAGACAGCTCCCCTCGCTTGTGCCCAGGCTTTCAAACCTGTCCGCATCGTCCGCGGGGTCAACGGCCTTCCCGCACCATGACGCCATTGAGTCTAAAACTTGACATCGCTCTGACTCCAAGTGATCGGTTTATATGATAACTTAAAGTTATATAGCAGAGAATTTAGAATTTCCACGGATGATCGACCCATTTTTGAGAGTGGTCAGTGTCAGCAAGATTTCCATCGTAGCTGTTTCGATACAAGCGATACAAGTATTGTGCAGTTGAACAACTCCCGCACAGATATGAATGGCATGACTTCGGAGTTGATTTATAAACAGACACGGACAGCGTCCATGGTACCCTTATCAGTGAGACTGAACAGCTTGAGCAGAAAATATCAGTTCGAAACTATGTGCACCGTCTTGCAGTTGGAATGTGCCCTGAGGACAAGCAGGAGCAGCAAACGGATCAAGAAATTGCAGCTTGCCAGGCCGGCTGGCAGATGCTAGCACGCTGGCTGGCACGCTGACTGCATATTTTTGTGATGGACAGTTCATGACAATTCACATCACATAGGTGTCATTCCTCTTTTCGAGGAAGGCTAAGTGACTAAGGGAGTGGGGCCGTGTCATTTTGCTGGAAAGGACGTGCAAAGATGCAAAGGCGAAGCAGATCGACAAAGAGCGATTTGCTTGAAGGATGATTCCAAGGGCTGGCGGATAGAGTGCAGCGCATGTGACTTAGGAATCAGGAAAGATGATTCAAGATTCATACCTTCCAGCAGTGCAGTCACCTTGTCATGGATTGGATGCAGATTGGCAGTGGTTCGCTTCCAGAGTTCCTTGCTGACCGCAGGAGAGGTGGCCATTGACTGAGGAAGACTGGATCCAAGCTGAAAAGGTATCTCGGTTGTGTCGCAGCTGTATCCTGTGTTACTTCTCTGTGACGAAGCCGCTCCCAGGGTCCAATGATCCAATGATTATCCAATTATTTACTGATCCAAGCCACCTCCAGAGTCCCAGAGTGTCAGTCCAACTTGACGTGGAACCGGCTTTCGTTTACTTTCATAAATTGACCACCGCTGCATGAGGACTTGCAGCGACAGAGAGATTGCGCAAAGAGAATGCTCGGAAGCTGACGTCCACAGGCTGTGAGGCGGGGGCATGCCGATCAGGTTGACGAACAGGGTTTTGCATGGTTTTGGCCTATTTGAGGTTTCTAGAATTCTTTGCAGATCTGCTCCTGCTGAACGCGCACCAATCTCAGCCTTCGCAGAAGTTCAGAAGCCTTTACCGAGCAATTCTTAGCACTCAGGCTACCTTGCCTCCAGTGACAGCGCAGCAGGACAACATGGCTGCTTGAGTAACTGCCGAAGAGTTGAGACACCTGTGCGTGCCAGCTTCTCATGACTTTTCATGCTTCTAAGGAGTTTCCCCACAAGGCAGCCTGCATGCATGACGTGTAGATAGTTTTTTTTTGAAATAACTTCCGATGCATCCCCGTTGGGATTTCTAGACTCGTTCCATGCACCCAAGAGTGGTCATACGGATACCGAGCGGAGGGAAGCGGAGTTTTCTGGACACTGCCCTTCGCCCAACTCTGATTCCATGCAACCTCAACCCTTAACCTCTGTCCAAGTTCCTCTGCTTCCTACAAAATAAAAGTGTAATCTGCTCAAACACAAAAAACAAATACATATCTTAGAGCTGCCATTAGCCTCTTTATTGGCTGGTTTCTGACGTCTCCCAGAGGTGGACGTAAGAGATGGGTCTTTTCTACGTAAGAGTTGACGTAAGAAGTCATGTAAATAATGGGCCTTTGAACAATCTTTGTATTGTATGTATGTGGCGTTGTATTGTCAGTTGATGTTCACTCATAAGCCCATGTGAGTGGTGTGGCTCATGAAAATGGGTGACTGTGAGCCTAGTTATGGCTATGGCAAGGCGCACGTGGTCAGTGGCCACTGGTTTAGCCCGTGACACACTGGGAGAGAACCTAACCTGTCCAACCCCTTCCAAGGACTGTTTTTTTGGCCTGGTTTCTTACGTGGTTTCTTACGTGGTTTTTGGCTGTTTTACCTCCCCCCTGAACGGTTCAGAACGGTTCAGAACGGAGAATGAACGGTTCAGGGGTATTCCCCCCTGAAAAAGGCATGAAAAACCTACGTAAGAACTCACGTAAGAACTCACGTAACAACCCATGTAAAGGTTTCTGAACGGTTCAGAACGGTTCAGAACGGAGAATGAACGGTTCAGGGGTATTCCCCCCTGAAAAAGGCATGAAAAACCTACGTAAGAACTCACGTAAGAACTCACGTAAGAACTCACGTAAGAACTCACGTAACAACCCATGTAAAGGTTTCTGAACGGTTCAGAACGGTTCAGAACGGAGAATGAACGGTTCAGGGGTGTTCCCCCCTGAAAAAGGCATGAAAAACCTACGTAAGAACTCACGTAAGAACTCACGTAACAACCCATGTAAAGGTTTCTGAACGGTTCGTGGGTAAGTAGGCCATGATGGGCTTCAATTATGGGTTTATTTTGGCTTGTTATGGGCCATGTCTTTCACATGATCTCTTACGTGGACTGCGACGTGGACTGCGACATGGACTCTTACATGCCTGGAGGTGGGGGTATGCTGACCACAGACATAGAGGCCAGTAGATGGTCTAATACATATCATCTTCTTCTTGAATATGTATATTTAAGATGCTTCGCAATATTTGCCTACATATGGTCAGCGCCTTCCCGACCAGGCGGTTCTGATTCTATCAAACTCACACACCCAAAAACTATGAAACATACAATGATGAATGCACATCATCTTTTAACTATGAACTATGTATATGTAAGATTATGTAAGATGCTCCGCAAGATCTGCTTATATGTGGTCAACACCTTCCTGACCAGGTGGCCTTTATTCTATATATAATAAAGCTATATTCACTATATCGCTTGCCTGCCGTGCAGCCAGTTTCTGCTTACGTCACCCGCGCCAAAACTTCTTCCCTGGTGGTCACCATGTCTGATGGAACTCGCACGCCGGAATCGGACTACGAATATGAATCGCAATTCTGGCAGTGCTTGGGCAAACTTATGTAATACTTTTTAAACAAAGCCTCTGTCTTTGTTCATGTGTTATGTCTCTGACCAATTCGTTGTGCGTATCTCTCCGCTTGCTGGTCATAAGCTCTCTCTGGACAATGCCACCTATTGCTCGACCATCGTGGCCTGAAACGTTCTTCGAACCTGAGCGTGAACGCTCTCGAAGTCCGCGGCGTGTGCAGCCTGGCACTATTTCACCCCGTACCCCCCCCAGCTCGCCACCACCGACCCCAAACATACCCCCACACATTGGATCTATGATTCCAATGACTCCTCCAGAATTGTTGGATCCTTCACCAGGGACGCCGGAAAGTCAACAAATATAGCGCAACAGAAGTGTAGAATAAAGTTATAGCAACAGTACAGGATGAGAGTGAATAAGGTCAGGCAATGTCAAGTCCTAATTTTTTCAAAAGCAACTATTCAATGACCTTCCTGCACTCAACAGCATTGCGCCTGCATCAGTTGCATGATAAGACCATGCACGTGCAGCAGCTGGAAATGTGGCAAGCAAAAAACAAGGAGTGAGAGTGTAGGTCATGGAGCGGAGCATTGAACACATACACACACAGACAGACAGACAGACAGACACACACACACACATATATATATATATATGTGAATGATATATCTACGTAATGTTATGTATATGTACAAACATAGCCAACACATGGATATCTACATACATGCAAATATGTCAACATATGTTCCATCTATACAAAGCCATGGGTGAAATGGATGATGGAAAAACACCTGTTTTCATTGTAAATGCAAATGAAAATGCTGTTTTGGTAGGTTCTGGGGGTGGGTGAACATATATATACAGTATAAAATATAACATAATTTAAGATAACACATATGTATAAAAAAAGAGCCTTTGTATTTATATATATATATATGTATTTAATATAACACTTATATATTTAATGTATCATATATGTATAATGTTTACATGGATAATTATTTGATGATTTTAAGCTCCCCGGGTCTTTTTGGTGGCCAAGTCGCCAAGGCAGGCGATGCAAAGCATGCCGGGGATGCTCTCCAAGCTGGAAAGTGACTTCCAACAACGGGCCAAAACCATTGATCCGTGGCTGTCTGTAGCTGAGTTTTTTTTTGGAGAAATGAACCAAGAAACACAACTATCTATCTCTCCAAATCGATTTAAACTGATCCAATCTTATTTGATCTTATTTAATTTTATTCAATCTGATATAGTGATATGATGATATAGCATGACATAACCTTATCTGGTCGTCTCTATCCAATGTTACCTAACCTAAATCTAATCGAATCCCTCTCTATCTCCATCCATACTTGATATGATCGGTTTCCTCTGGTGATGTCACCTGATTACGGAGGTGGCTCAAGAGGAGCTGGAGAGGTTCTTTTTCGAGCTGTTAGCATATAAATGTACATACGTTTGTATATCAACACATATGTATCTTAAAACATAAGTATATACTTTACATACGTATATATGTATGATTCCATATATTGTATTATAGATATATAGAGCATGACATTTGTTGCCTATGGGGCACAGGAAGCTCGCGTTGTGATAGTATGATATAAAGAGAAAAACATGATGAAAGATGTGTGTATATATGTATATATCAATCCATCAAAACATACTTACATGAATATCATTATATTTATTTACAGTATATATGCAGTACAGATATGTATAGATGATCCTTGCACGACATTGCGTCCAAGGAGTCTTCCATTGAAGCAAAGTTTTCGAAGATGGAGGGCCGATGGGGAGAGAAATGCTCTTGTTTCGTGGTGGAAATCACGCGCTGCTTGCTCGCAATGAAAGTCTTTCAGCAGAAATGAACTCAACAGGAGGCAGAAAGTGTAGGTATAGAGTCCCAAATAGAACAAACGGATGATTTTAGTCAGAACGT